ATGATAAATATACACTATACTAAATACTTTATAGTATACTAAATAGTAGACTGTGTACTAAAGTCTTTGCTGTACTGTATACGCTACTACACATAATTCTATGCTCGAGTAGAACGATACTACGTAACAATGCTGCTATTCATGATTCTGCATACCATACTATATAGTATACCATATAACCTGCCATATAACTAAGCTATTCGATATGCTGTATACGTACTATGTACTAGACTCTTTACAATATCCACTCCATATTACACTACACACTATGATACATCGTTTGCTATGTACTTCTACATACAAAATACAATACATACTATACTACATGGCATATTACACAGTATGCGATATAGCATGCTATATCCGAAACTATATCCCGTTTGTGTACTATACTATATACTATACTATACTATACTATACTATACTATATACTATACTTCGTAGTTTTCGAGATACTATACTTGTTGCTCTGCTATATACTATACTGTGGACTGTAATGTATGTCATACTAATACTACTGTATCATACCATAGGCTACACCAGACTACTCGATACGATACTATACGTAATATTGATATATCTATATATATATATACACGAAACTGTACTGTACTGCGCTGTACTGTCTATACCATCCCATCGGGTGCTGCATGAAGACCCTCATGACGGCGTTTGTTTTCCGAAGGCGCAGGTTAACCATTGAGCTTTCGATCAGAGCCGCGAACCTCTACAGACCAAGCACAGTCGCTAGGTCACCCCAGCTAACACAAGGGCATGGGGGTTTCCGAAAATAGGGGACCCTAATATAGTACCCCAAATAGTAGGATCCTTAATACAAGGACCCCCACATAAGGTACCCCGTATTTTCGGAAACTCCCACACAAATCTGACTCAGCGGCCCCTTTGGGCAACGCCGGATGCTTGCAGGGTGCACTGGAAGCAGACACCACTCTGACATCAAAGCACCTCCCTTTCCTCCGAGTCAGATGCTATTGAACCTCGCGAACTCCCACCACTTCGTTCTCGTAGCATTCCTGGGTTCTTGTCCGGGAGCTCAATTTCAGGTCAACTAGATTAGATGTTGTCTGATTTTCGTACATCGTGTCCCCAAACCCCAAACCCAAAAACCAAAAAACTCGAAAAGCTGAAGAAAAAACCGAAGAACGTTTGAAAAACACGACACAAAACAAGATCCCAGCTTCGGCCTTCCGATGGCAAGAGACGGCCGTTGATCTCGTCGAAAGTCAAGGCGCCGTTCTTATCCCTTTGAAAGGACGGGGTTTAGGGTTCAGGGTTTAGGGTTTAGGGTTTAGGGTTTTGGGTTTTGGGGTCAGGGTTTAGAAGGTTAGGGCTCGACAAAGAAGGTGGCACCCCGATCAATGTTGTGTATTTGCAGGGGGGGCTAGTACTTTCGCCGGGTGGCTAGTCCTTTCACTTTCGTCGCGCGCGTCGTATTGGGCCGGGCCCCACGCACTTATAAGTATGCAAATTGCTTATAAGCAGCTGCGCTGATTAGACATATTTGGTCGAGCCCCATGCGCTTATAAGCACGCACAGTTGTTATAAGCAGCCTTGCTGCTTATAAGCAATAAATGCTTTTGGTATGGTAGGTTTAAATAACTAACTTGAGTTTCGTTTGATTGTACTTAAACCGACACCTTTACAAATGAAAATACGAAAGTGAGGCAAGCATTCGCACTGCCACCTACGCTGTCGCACATCGGCTGTGCCCGTAAAAAACAGGGCGCAGCCTTTAAAAATTTTGGGCTTAAGATCTGAACCCTAAAACTTAGGGTGTAGAACGGGAAGAACCGCGCTGCTCTCGCCGAAGTCTAAAGCAAGCCACACCTCAAAGAAAACCGGAGGGTTTCGGGTTTAGGGTTTAGGGTTTCGGGCTTCGGGTTTAGGGTTTCGGGTTTAGGGTTTAGGGTTTCTGGTTTCGGGTTTTTTTTTTTTAAAGTGCAGTGGCTCCTTTTCTCCGCAAGAAGCCCACCTATAGCAGGCGTACACTTAAATCCACCACTGTAGCCAGATGCAAAACTAGTCCCTACTTCGACTCGCATCACGGTGTTCTTCATGCTCTTCATCTTCACTATCCAGCTCCACCGACTCAGAACTGTCAGAGGCCGCATCTCTCATCGTCTCATCTTCAGGAACGGGCAACGTTGCATCTCCTCCCCCACCAACTCCATCCCCACCGTCAACATCCGAGAGCCTGTACATCCACGTCCTCAGAAACGTCATAAAAGCCGACAACCGCCTGGCGTTTCCGCAGAAGCTGAAGACAATGATCTTTAAAATCCGCTGTGTCCAATTGCGTGGAGTCCTTTCTTGGCTGGTACGCCTTTGCAGTGAACTGAGCGAAACGCCGCAACCAATTCTTTAAGCCAGGATCCTTGACATTAGACCACTTAGCAATGCCTGCAGCTCGCTCTTGTTGTTCTTTTGCCAGTTGCCAAGCCGGAGGACTGAGAGAACCAATGTATTGAAAGCCAAGTTGAAAGTATGATTCTTGATCTCTGCCCTCTGGGAAGACGTGCCACGATAAGATCAGGACTTCAGGAATCTCATGCCGCTCTAGCTGGACTTTGACGTACTTCAACCACTCCACATAATTGACACCGACGTAAGCCTGATGCTGCTCGAATGTCTTGTCTTGACTTCTCCAGTAGACTCTACCTTGCTCCTTCATGAACTCACCATAGCCGTTAAAAATCCCTTGTAAGCCTTCGTCAACGTCCACCGCGTTGATTCCTTTCATCTTGAAGTACGGCAGTCAAATGTGTCTTGCCAGCACCTGGAGGCATAACAAGCACATTCCAAAGCTTTCCCTTCACGCTCTCCAGTTTGTCATGCTGAAAGCTAACTTTGACACTTGAGAAGTCGCACGAGCCTATTGCGTCAAATAGCGGCTTGTCGTGAAAAGTAGCAGTCGCGATCTCAGAAAGCCGCGTGAAATCAGTTTCAGGTGGCATACTGAAGGTCTTGCCATCTTCAAAGGACGCATGAATCTTTGTCAAAAAGAGCTTTTCCTCTTTGCTCGCTTTGCCATATTTGTCGTCTCCCTAACAGCCTCAAAAACTTGCGAATCTCGTGCTTCGCTCCACTACCTCTCAAACGTACTAAAAGCAGCGTTGCTACTGAAAGACTTTGATTCGGGCAGCTAAGCAACGGTTTGCAGTGAATTCCTTTCGTGCAAGCGCTTGGACGCACAAAGAAACCCTTACCTCCTACAAGCTGGATCGCAAATTCTTCTTTGCAATCTGAGGCTACAAGCGCCAGATATAATTTCCACGTACCAGGTAAGCCTGTTTCCTCAAGCCACTTGTCCCTGACAAGCTTGGTCCTGCACTGAACCATCATTCCGGTTACTTGTTTGTCAAGTCGGTAGGCAAGGCCAAAGTTTGAGGACGCACTTCTTGAAATCTCGGTCCAATTGTCATCACTTGGCGTCAATCGCGAGTGTAGTTCCAGGACTTCCTGAATCATAATATATCCTGACTTCTGGCGCTCAAGAAGTTCTAATGTTGACAAAGTCAAAAAGCCCAAATCACCCGATGCTGGGAACACGTCCGCCGCCGGAGTGACCCAATTGGCGACCTTGTAAAAGACCCTGTAATCTCCCAAAGTTTCAATTCTCAACGTGTCAAGAAATTGCTGTCTCTGCAGTCTCCCTTGCTCACTTTGAGCAAAGCGAAGAAGATCATAGGAGGGATAAAATGCCTGTTCCCACGTCAGCCCGCAAGCAGCAAAAGCCTGAGCCATTTGTGTCTGGTCCTCCAAGCACAGAATAAGATTTCCACCATCTGAAACATTCCTCAATGAACGTAACCGTGTCTGCAGATCCTCTGTGTCAAAGCACGTCAAATCCACCTTTGAGGGGAACCACCCTCCTTCTGCCGCGTCAAGAACCGGAACAACGTCTTTGGCTATGAAAAGCCAATCGGCATTTGCTACTCGTATCACAGCTGGACTGAACGTAGAGCTGCTTGGTTTCCGAAGCAAAGCTTCTCTCTGAACCAAATACTCAGCCAGACCCGTCATTTCAGCCGAAAGTTTGTCTAGGCTTGCTTTAACTTCGCTTGTCACACTGGCAGTGTAATTGCCTATTCTGACCAACTCCTCGCCCAGCAAAGTCAACCTTTCACGCAATCCCGTCGCCATGCCGCGTATCTCTCGTTGCAATAAAGTTTCCCGAAACCTCTGCTGTTTAGCGTCATGCAACAAAGCAAAGAGCGCAAGATCAGCCTCAGACCTGGATGTCAAACGCTCCCAAAGTCCAAAGACAAAGAGGGCTGATAATACAACCCCAGGCAACGGCAATAAATCCAGAAGGCCAAACAAACGTCGTAGAAATAGAAAGCACTCCTTTGCTTTAGCATACTCAGTCTTCAAAAAGCCACTTAATGAAAAGCGCAAAACGTCCCCATCGAAAGAGAAACCCCTGTTCAAAAACAGAAGTTCGCATGCAGTCACCAAGAGCAGCCACAACGCCAAGTCTGAAATCCCTTTCATCGGGCCGTAAAGCCCCGCCGCAGCGATCCAGGGAGACAAGGCGCCTGCGCTCTTAAGCCAAAATGGCTACGGGTTTCGGGTTTAGGGTTTAGGGTTTCGGGTTTAAAGTTTAGGGTTTCTGGTTTCGGGTTTAGGGTTTCGGGTTTAGGGTTTAGGGTTTAGGGTGTCCGTTAGAGGTTCGTGCAAGGGTTCTTTTTATGCAAATCCTTTGAGGGTTCTGGGGTTTAGGTTCGGGGCTTGGGG